TATATATATAAAAATGAAAGTGTGTTTGTATGTATGTTTGTTTGTTTGTGCTTTATAGACTGCTAAACGGCTGGACCGATTTTCCTGAAATTTTCACAGTTTCTTCCTGTATGTCTGGAAGGAACTATAGGCTACTTTTTATGTTAAAATTTCAAGTGGGCGACGTTCCACGCCCATATTAAGAAAATATTAAATTAGTATATCTGAGATAATATAACAGCTAGAGTCTTCAAATTTTGTCGGAGCAACTTTAGTATCAATATAATTATTTAAGACAAAAAGTGGGCGGAATAGAATTAGGGGGCGTGGCACCTCCAATATAGATTAAATACAAAAATTAGTTTATCTTGGATACTATTACAATTAGAACATTAAAAATTTGCACGAGTAACTTTAAAATCCATGTAAACATTTTGGGAAATAAATTGGCGGACTATCCATGAGGGGAGCAGCACCTCCCATATTAATACAATACAAAAATTAGTTTATCTGGGAAACTAATTGAACTAAATTCTTCAAATTTTGCACTAAGAACTTAAATATTCATCTGAACATTTTGGAGAAAAAAGACCGGACTTTCGTCATGGTGGGCTTGGAGCCCCCATATAAATTAAATAGAAAAATTCGTATATCTGAGAAACTATTAGAGCTAGAATCTTCAAATTTTAATTGAAGAACTTTGACATTCATGTGAACAATCAGAGAATAATGGGCGGACTTTAAATGGGGAGCTTGGCACCTCACATATGAATTAAATACAAAATTTCGCTTATCAGGGAAACTAATAGAACAAGATTCTTCAAATTTAGCAAGAAGAACCTTTTAGACATATGAACATTTTGAAGAAAAAAAGGTGGACTTTCATCTGGGGGTTGTGAGTTCCCATATGAATTAAATAGAAAAATTCGTATATCTGAGAAACTATTAGAGCTAGAATCTTCAAATTCTACATGAAGATCTTTGACATTCATGTGAACATATAGAGAATAACGGGCGGACTTTCAATGGGGTCTTGGCACCCCCTATATGAATTAAATACAAAATTTCGTATATCTGGGAAAATATTAGATTTTTTTTAATTTGTCATCGATTACATTAAAATCTTAATTAACGTTCGGAAAAATTGTATCTCTGGAAAACATTACAGTTAGAATCTTCAAAATTATTAAGAAGATTTTTTATTTATATTGCTTTTAGGGTAGCAAAGCACTAGCTATACCCAGTCTAGTTATAAATATAATAAAGTCTTCATTTTCATCTAAAAGAAAAAAATTAAAACTAAAATTTTTACGAAGACCTTTAACATCCATGTGAATATCTATGAGGAAAATGGGCGGACTTTAATGGTACCTTCCATATGTATTAAATAAAAAAATTCGTTTATCTAAGAAACTATTAGCAAAGCACGCTGGGTATATCTAGAATATATAAACTGCAAATTTCAATTATATTATAAAAAGCGAATAAAGCAAAATAAATTTATGTATAAAATATTGCAAAAGTACTTATTTTTTAATTTAATGTACATAGTGTGTTATTAATAAGAAATTTTGAAAGTAACAAAAATTATAATTTGATCTAAAAACAAAAAATTTTTAAAATAAATATTTGTCATTGTGGCAATTCCCTGTCAGCTAGAAAATCCCATAGGAAACCACGAAGATTCTCCACAATGTTTACGTGTGTATTCCCAGTCAAGCGGGAAAATACTTTTCTCAAACCCACTCAAAATATAAATATGATATGAGTGTGCGCGCAGGTAGTAAGTAGGTGGTTGGCAATTCGCGATAGAAAAAAACTATCACATCGAATAATTTCAACGTCCAATGGGAAACCCGCAAATGTCTCGCCCGTTTTATAAACACAACAATCATTTTATTGCAATAATGGCAAAAACATTATATTTGTGTGTTTGTGTATGAGAGCGTGTATGCATGTTTGTATCTCTCTCAATTCGCGCTCATTAAATTGACGATCGCTTGAAACAAAAACAATTCGTTGGATATTCCATAGGAAGTAGTATTACATACATACACACATCCATACACGTTAGTAGGACCATAAATATTTTTGGGATTTTTAGTGTAATAATTGCATCCGGAAATTTGACTTTTCAGTCTTGCAATTGTTGTTGTTAAAATACATAAAGAGACAATGATACAATAAGATTACAAGGATTTCATTCGTTAATCAATGATGATTAAAAAGTTACAAGATCAGTTAAGAATACATAATTGAATTACAATGACCAATTATGAGATTAAAATTTTCGGCCATAAATAATCTGACATGAGAAGTTCCGAAATTTTCATGTTCACAACTCCTTAAAGCATATTTGACTGCAAAAAGTTTTTTAATGTATTTTTAATTTCCCGTGGAAGCGCCTGTTTATCATTCCGTTTGTAATTTCTCTAGCGTAGTCGATTTAGCCATGTTCGCCGGTTCGTATATTGTATATCTGTGAGATCCAAATCTTCAATAATTCTATCAGACATGCTTTCAAGAAGTTTCCTATTTAAAAGCAGTAAAATTGGTTAGCAAATAACCGAGATATAAACAAAATTTCAAAACAATCCTTTAAAATTTTACGTTTTTCTCATGCTTGAATGTAACAGATTCTTTCACAAGTCTTTTTTTCGTCCAGAGATTAACATGGTTGACAATAATTACATCGGCTCAAAATTTGATATAGCTTCCAACCTACTCCTGTTTAGAACCCATTTTAAAATATCGGTGTTTCCACAAAATTTTTCATTTATAACTCTAATATCAATATAAATTGTATTATTACTAAAATCTGGATAGGCCTATAACTGACCGTAGCTCCCATATAAGGTCTTGTTTTAATTTCATATTGGATATTTTCAACCCCTGCAAAAATTATTGTAGTACATTTTAGTAATCCAAAAACTTCTCGCCTGTAAATATTATCGCACTACTTGATCGGTTTAGAAGTCCTATGTAATGCAGGCATGGATCATGTTTATTACTTTTGAAATTAACATGGTCCATAGCCTGCATTACATGGGACCATATTGCGGATCATAATTTCAGCATTTGATTAGTTTTGGGATTACTTCGATGTAATGTCCTCGCCTAAGATATCACAATGTTAAATGGAGTATGTTTTTTTTCATATATTTGGTTTAGTTTTGGACCAATCCTAGTCCTTTGAGGAGTACTCTTTACACGCGTTTGCGGAGTAGTCTCAATTTTTGCAGTGACGTTTTTATTAAAACTTCACTAAAAACTTGGTTTTTGTTTCAAATATCAAAACTGTGGAAATTTTAAATAAAAATTTTAATATTTTTTGCAAAGTGATAAAATTTATCGGAATTTTAAGTACTAAAATAAAATCGATCCTAATAATATAATTTGCTAAATTATGTTTTAAGTAGTGGATTCAACAATCTTTTTAAGATTTACCAAAACATCCAAAGCAATTTACTTTTTTTAAGAATTACTTATTCCTCGCAGAGTCTTGATATTAAAAACTTTAAAAGGATGTTTATCGTGTTCCTTCCATTTACCATTAACGACTTTTTCATCAAAGCACCTTTTCTTTATTGCCAGTGGTAGTCAACTGCAGAAAACATCATTACCATTGACGACTTTTTCATCAAGGCATCTTATGCTTATTATTAGTGGTAGTCAGCTAAAGGAAAACTGCTGAAATTTCATCAAGTCATCCATTGAAAAATGTCATCACGTGATGACTTGTACGCAATGTATCACTTCTGACATTATCGTTAAGACACTGGGTTTTAAAACATAAAAATTGGAAAATTTGTTTAAGATTTAAGAAAGTGGTCTTATCTCGGATATAATTGCTCGTAACTTTGGTGTATGTTGTATTTTGGATTCCATTATGAACATATGATGTCATGATGTAAAAGTCGTCAATGGTCATGACGCTGTTGCAAAAGCTCTTAAATTGGACATCAACACGATATGTCATAGATTTGTCCCCAATGTTAACATCGTGACGATTTGTTTCTTTAAGAAATTTGACAAAACATATGAAAATGTCGGCTGATGTCATAAGTTTTTTGTATGAGAACTAGTGACAAATTCATTAGGGATTCCGACATGTCATGAACTATTTCCCTAAGACGTCTTAAGGAAATTTCCAACTGGGAAGTATCACAAACTCCATGAACATTATGAAATTAATTTTTTGCACTTTGAGACAAAGATAATTTTTCGAAATAATGACAAATTTTCGAAACAATAGACGGGAATTCACTTTGGAATGCCGTAATTCACCGGATTCTACTGGTAGCAAAGTAATGTTTTGGAGTAATGACAAAAGCAATGAAATATTCACGATCATTTCGGCACAATTTTATTAGATTCTTATAGTTAGGAATTGAAAATATATCCGCCAAATATATATTTGTCTGCTTTATACGTTTTATAGTCCGTGGGAACTTTTGGAAATTCCACCATTCCATTTAATTACCGCTAAATTATCCCAATTGTAAATGGAAATTAAATATGTCTGCAAATATCAAAGATCACTGATGGACTACCTAAGTAAAATGAAATTCTGTGCGCCATTATACCAAATACACATCAATTCTCTCGATTCTTAAGATCACACACATTCATATAGATTTTATTGTTCCTAAGTGAGAATGTAGTAGTCGTTTAATGTCCACTTGGATTTGTGTTGTTGTGTTTGAATGTTAAACCATTGAGAAATAAAAACTCTCCCTTCTACTTCTACTACTCATGTGTTGGTGCGTGTGTATGAATGTGCGCGAGCAGGTATGACGTCATTGTGAGGGTGTCCCTCATGCATACTCTCTAATTCTATATGCTATCACTGTCTTGTTAATGCTAAGTGTAGGCAGTTGATCATCATAGAAAGAGAAAGCATTAGTTGTAAACCGTAGACGAATAGCAACATTTGTTTGCGTCCCACTTTGAGTGGTGTGTTAAGGATTTCAACATCAGTTGAGTTTCAAACTTTCATACGATCGGATATCATAGAACATTTAGTGCTTGTTATACATATATCGATTTAAAATTATATTTATAATACAGACATAAACAATACGTCACGTCGGTATATTTGCAATTCTCATATTTAAACATTAATAAAAAATATACTTGCTTACATATATTTCATTTACATAAAGAAAACAAACCTTAATTTTCCTATAATGTCGGTTCGACCCGCGTCTCCTAAAGTCCTACTCGACATTAGCTACAAGCCATTGCCCAATATAATGGATTTACAACACAATGTCATTAAACTGATTCAAGTTGACCAACAGTCGTATATGCATTCCATCCATAATATGGATCCACAGAATGCATATGGTCAGACCCATCCACATCAATACCATCACCAGAATCAACAAATATCGCACATGAACATGAATGGACGTCAAAATATAGCCAATCCTAATGAATACCTCTGCTACGGAGTCAACGAACAAGATGAGACAGATTACAACATTCCTAGCAGTGAAATCTTAAGCACAAGTAGTAACAGTGCCAGTTCTACACCAAATAGCCACAATATGGGATCTCCAGCTTCAATTCCCGCTAATGGCGTTTCAAAGGAACTGAATAACAACACTTTCAATGATTTGGAATCTCAACAGTATCAAATAAATGAGAACGGCAAGAGAAGCCGTGATTTCGACTGCGGATCTAACGATGTATTACAGGATAATAAGAAAATACACATACCGTCGCTACACACCAGTCAGAACAATGTGCAACATTTTGTCCAGCATCAAGATCAAAAATTTTTTGTGGAATATTTGCCAACTACTGTAAATGAAGTGAACTCATCTAATAATGTCCAGCCAAATACAAACCAACAAAATTGTATATCTTCGCCACAATTCGAATTTGCGGATGAAGAGATGTGTGATAACAGCGAGGAGGATAATTTTAAATACACCTTCCACCAACAGCAACATCAACAAAATACCACCACACCATCCCTAGTTCTGCACCATAACAATGGAGCTCTACATTCCAGTAATTTAGCAGGTGGCTTTGATCATATGGAGAATGCTGGCTCTTTGAATGGCAGCACTTATTCCAGTTCAGATCGTGATGAAATGGAATATACTCGCCAATCTGCCCCTTCCAGCAACAGTTATTTGTTTCCTCATGAAGATGAACTTAGTGCTGGCGGTGGTGAGAGCAACGAACATTCCAAAGAGTTCCGCAAACCCCGTCGGCGAACAAAACGCAAATCTAGCAAGTCCGAAGAAGTAGAAGATTTTCACAGCCAGCGCATTATGGCGAATGTGCGAGAGCGCCAAAGAACCCAAAGTTTAAACGATGCCTTTAAATCATTACAACAAATAATTCCCACCCTACCAAGTGATAAGCTGAGCAAAATCCAAACACTAAAATTAGCCACTAGGTAAGTTTTCAAATTTTATCTTGATTTTTTCCAATACGATTCCACTAGGAAATTCCTCGGATTGGGAAAATTTCTCTCTCTGGCGGGGCATTTCCGTTTTGTTTAGAGGTTTTTCTCACGTCACATCAATAAAAACCCACAAAATTACGTACACATTTTAATCCGCTTACCTGCGCGCAATATTTATTATCTAAGCGCCGTTGGTCTTTCCGATTCAAAGTGGAAATTTGTAATCATTGACTCATTAAGCTTTGTATATACCTTCACACAAACAATTTGTCTAACCTTCGATTGCTTTTTCCTTTTTCAGATACATTGACTTCCTGTGTCGCGTGCTATCAACAAGCGAAATTGGTTTACTAAAGGCTCTCGATACAAACGGAGCACAAGGTAATGGCTATGCTATGGGTGCCGCTTCCATTCTCAATGATGCCGAAGCCGACTTAAAAAGTCTAAGAAGAGCTGCTGGAGCTCCCGTCATTCCACCAGAGAAACTAAGTTATCTCTTTGGTGTTTGGCGAATGGAAGGTGATGCTCAGAACAGCAAATCCTAAAAGTTCAAACGTAAATTACGTTTTCAGTCAGCCGTCTCAAAAAAAAGAAAAAGAAAAATACTTCCACAAATTATTAATGCATCTCTCTGTGTCGCAAAATGCAACACTTGTTATACTTTCCATTTAGTTATAAAACAATTTACTTTAGCCTCTAGATCTAAGACTCAAAACAATAATTTTAAAAAGTCCTTATTATACATAGAAACATACTTATAGGTAATAATTTAAATTTTAAACTTAAGTATTTTTATAAATAAAATTATATATATTTATATCTATATATATAATAATGTACATGTATGAAAATTTTACTCCTATGTATGTGTTATTTTTTATATACATTTTATATCCTAAACTCTTTCGAGTCGCACAAGGAAATCATTCGTTCCAATTGTAAATGAATAAAAAATAAATTGAAAAGAAATCAAAAGAATCAATTCTTAAGACTCTATACTTTGTCTTTAATTTTTCGCCATTTTGAATGAAATAAAAACGAAATAAAAAAAACAAGAAAAATATTTACAAGAAAAATACACAAATGTAGTGAAATCATCGCACAGACAAAGGAATCTGGGATCCGCCCGTTAAACAAATTCACATGAAATAATAAATATTTTTTAAACAATCCAAATACATACTTGTACAATGTACATGTATTTAACTACATACATAAATTAGTGTATGTATGTATCTAGTATGTATAAAGAGCAGCAGTATATAAAATTGACTATGTCTACAAAATATATGTATATGATGAGCAAGTCGATCTTTTTTCCCATTAAATTAGCCGCAAAAAGGCATTCATTAAATAAATGACAAAGTCAAGTTGGAGACACTGGCTGTACAAGGGAATGAAATTGAAAAACGTATTGGATCACAAAAACTCACTTGGGGGATCTGAAGAATTCCAAAGCCGCAAATATTTACAAAGAAACATATGGTTAAATAACAGATAGACAGACAGACATACGCACAATATAAAATTATTATTTTCCGCGCGACAATTTCATGCCGTAACGTCATTTATTTAAAATTTATCCATTAGGGTGTCTTATGTTTGGGAAATTTTTATGAGTTGCATTATGATAAACATTTCATTATGGAAAAATTAAAGTCTTATTAGACAATGTATAGTATGTCAAAATTTAGAAACTTTAATTTTTCATGCATTAATGGAGTTCATCCTAATAAAGTATATTTAATGGATACTTTTTACAAATATTTTTATTTTATCAATTCCCAGTTCTTTAAGGAAAATACACACATTTAGTTACTAGTTAGACATTCATCCAGCACAATCCCCAGAATACAACCTCCCCTCTTGTTATACATATGTACATTCGCCTGAATCCCTTTCTTCAATTTTGTATAATTGTGGCCATAAACCTGTGTGTCGACTTAGAATTCATACCACCATACTAACTTCGGCCTTATTTATTCTGAGGAGGCTTCTCGTCCTACAATCATTGAGGACAATCCATAGTAGCCCTACCCGCCGTTCCATTATTTCAAGTATCCGTATGGGATTCTCTCGCCTATGTGCCTCTAACGGCTTCGTATTTGTTATTTCAACTTCCTCAAGTTCTCTTCTCTTCAAGCAAGTAACAGGTAGCGCAAAAGTAATCCTCCTATCAGAAAATGCTATAAATTTTGCGAGGCCCCTATTGTTAGTTCTGTTTTGACATTTGTGTAGTAAACAGAACTGACATTAGAGGCCTGCAAAATTTATAGCATTTTCCGATAGGAGGATTACTTTTGTGCCACCTTTTACTTACATCCACTATCAGCGGTCGGGCACATCTGCTGTTTGTGTATAACTTTTCAATACAAATGAATACCGGAGTATACATTCAGCATACTGGAGTATACATTAATCATGTGCCCTCTAACTGACTTTGGTCAATACGCCTACAGACAAGAGCTGCTCGTCTCGCATATAATATGCATTTCGATCGGGGGAGGAATGTTCAACAATATTTCTAAAGCTTTTGGGCGAAGTAGTGCCCATGGCTCCACTTACACCCAAGCAACATGTACGCTGAACTCCCTGTAATGGTATTGCTACTTTTTACCCGAAGAAGTCAATAATTAAGCTTTTATAAAGCCTAACAACTACTTACTTTGTTAGTTCTAATCTCTACGTAGTAATTACATCAAAACCGCGGTATCCCCATAAAATACTGATTAAAGGTGAAAATATTCTTAAAATTTCTAAATCAAGTTTTTTTGTCATACGTTATCTTTGGGTTAGTTTTAATATCTTAAAACCTCGGAGCTATCATGTCACAGAATAACTTTACCGATTTGAATAAATTTTTCACAAATTCCTCAAATAAAATTTTCATAATAAACACCCTAATATTTGTACATCGTGCAAGCAGGCTAGGACTGACATATAAACTACGAGTTTGTACGTAGGCAGTCTAAAAAACAACTAGACAAAATATATTATTTAGTTTAATTTGACATATTTTTCGCTATTTTTTCATATACTATTATAGTATTTTCCTAGTTCTTCTACTAAAAGTTTGTTTCATTTCCACTTTAGAGTTAAATTTCGTAATGCTGATTTTTGTCAAAAATTTCAAAATAAATTTTCATTTTGCCCTCGTATGAACGATTTTCGGGTAGCATTGCCTTACTAACTTAGTGAAAACATTTTTTTGTTCGTTCTGCCCCCAGTACTGTATGATCATCAATAAACACACACTAACACAACTTTGTGATACATCACATCCGGTGATTTATGACGATTTGTTTTGAACTGAATATATGAATAAAGAATATTTTCTTTGAAATTTACACTTTACATCACTGGAACAGAGTCGAAAGATACTAGCAATTTAAGCAAGATAATAACTCACTTTTTATTTTTCTTTGGAGCTTTAATTATGACAATTAAGTCTTTATTATTACAGTTCTCACTTAGCGAATAAATTAAAGTTTTGAAATTTGTTTTGAAATCTAACTACCTGGTTGGCTCTAATTCGTCTTTTGTCAATCTTTGTAAACGTCCGTCCGTTTTGTAGATAGTTCAGGACGATCCAGCCGAACTGCACATCAAATCTATGCTGTAAATTTGATATTGGGTAAAAAAATGCAGGATTAAGATTTGTGGATATAAATTCTAAAAATGTAAAAAAATATTAATATTATAATGGTACTTATTTGAATATTCTTCAGTGTATGAAGTATAATACTTATTTTATTTAATTTTAATATTTGTAGTAATGAATTTATTGAAATTCAACACTTAAAAATATAAATTGATTCTGTATTTTTAAAAAAATTGTATTGGATTTTTTTGTTTTCTTATTTGGAGGCTCTAAAACTGGGTGCAAAATGTAAGAGCAGATAAATGCAGATTATTCGGTATTTTTCATCAAATTGCTATGGCAGCCCTAGTCACAACTTTAGTCTCCAGTACAAAATCCGAGCAATAATAGATAAAATATGGCACCAACAGGCGTTAATACCGACAGCCAGAAGGCAGTTAGTGAGTACTTTCCCAGTGGTAAGCTTTGCATTATATGAGTACCAAGCCATTTGAGAGTAATCGACAACGAAAGAGCGAATTTACTTGCATAAAGGGAAGGGAGCTGGAGATAGTTAATCTGACGGACGCAAAATCATTCGATGCAACGAGAGATGTATTAAAAATATAGCAAAGACAGTTCCATAAGCCCTCTTGGAGTAATGAAACGGCGAGTAGAAAGAACCACACTGGTGCTCTCATTGGGAGTGTTCCCATTGGAAGATAATAGCTTCATTGATTATAATATTTTTTTGTTTTTACCAACATTTTCCATGAAAAATACCCGATAGTGGTCTAGGTGTATTTCTTCGGATTTTATGTAGTATACATCCTCCTATCAACATAATCTATATTCAAAATAAATCATATTTATTGCGCATTAAAAATACAGAATATTTTTATTGACAGGAACGAAAAGTGGATTCTCCAAGACTAATCTATAGAACATACGAGTGGGAGATTGTAAAATCTCTTCAAAAGACTCTTTAAAGATAGCAAACTGTCTTTTAAAAGCCACATAGATTATATTGAAGCAAAGGCCAAATAAGTGAGGTCCCAAATACCACAGATGGAAGATACTAGCAGGAGTAGTTAAAAGCATTATACTATATGCTTCACCTATGTGGGCTAACTGTATGAAGTTTAGGACGTACTGTAATAAACTCAATTAAGTATAAGAGTATGAAGTGCTTACAGAACGGTATCAGATGAAGAGATGTTTGTCATTGCAGGATTGATTACGGTTGACTTCCTGGTGGAAGAGATTGGTTCCATACATAAGGACGACATCGCAAAGATAAAAGCTCGATCGAAAACTCTAGAAAGTAGGCAAAGAAAGTGGTCAGCTACCATAAAAGGCCGATAGACCTACACACTAATACCTAATCTTAATAACTGGTTGGAGAGGGAACACGGGCATGTGGAGTATTACACAACTCAATTCCTTAATGGACACGGTGCCTACAGGTACTACTTACATCGATTTGGACTGATCGAATCCAATTTCCAATTTGCACGACCTGATAGAAGGTGCGGAACACATCTTCTTCATCGGTCCCAGATTCAACAGAAAGAAATAATCTCCAAGCAGAGTTAGGAACTGAAATAAGAGTCGATAATATTATCCAGCTAATGATGAGTTCGTCTACATGCTGGGGATACATAGCACAGTATGTGAAAATATTTTTAGAACTCAGTAGAAATTAAAATAAAATGGAGGGCAAAGAAATACTTCGCGGTCGTCCCGCCGGGGTTGGGAAGACGTTTGGGATGTTTTAGAGTGTTAAAGTCTTGCACAAAGTCTTTTGATTTAAATTTATTAGTGTAATTTTTTCTAAATGTATATTTGTCATTAAAAAATATTTCGATAATCAGATAGAATCCGATATGTGTATTATTCTGACAAAAAATCTCCCTATGAAGATAAAATCTCTCCATGAAGATAGAGGCCATCATTTTCTAAAAGTTACTCTAATGTTCATGAATTTGGAACTTATTATTTGATGATTGGT